ATGAACGGTAGTGATGGATCGGTGTGGGCCAGTACCGGGGCTGATGTGAACAGACCCCTCAGGTTACTGAAGGCCCTGTCGGCCTCAGCAGACCAGCGGAGCCGGGACAGCCCACCCTTCAAAAGAGATATGATGGGAGCTGCGACCTTGCCAAAGCCCCGGAAAAACAGTGTACAGTGCGCAGCAGAGGGCTCTGAATGAGTGTGGGTGTTTGATACCTGGGGTGACGCGAGAGTGCCCTGCCTGCCGCCTCAAGACCCAAAAGAACGCTGACGACATCGTGCAGTGAAATGTCCTCTCATGCCACCAGAGTGACACTAGCGGTATCGTCCTCCACTCTCCCGGATCGCCGCTCCACCCAGCTCCATCAAGCTGTGATCTGGGTCGGGCGGGGTTGGAACAGGCAGGCCCCCTCCAGGACGTCCTCTGGCCGCCAGCAGGTTATCCAACCGGATGGCCATGTCCACCAGTTTGAGTGAAGAACAACATGGTGTCCCTGCAGGCTAGCTCTCTTCTGATGTCCTTCCGTAGATGGCACCGGAAGTGGTCGATGAGGGCCCGCTCGTTCCACCCGGAACCAGCTGCTAGAGTCCGGAACTCCAGGGCGAATCCTGCGCGGTCCTCTTCCCGTGCCACGATTCCAGGCATGCGCTCCTCTCCTGCTGACTCCATGGCGGGTGTGTGATTCTGTGATTTGAAGGAGTCAGGCGCAGGAGGGTAAAACACAGAATTTATTCCGGAATACAGAGTTACGCAGAAATACGTCAAACAGTCCAGTGTGCAAAACAGGCGCACTGGAACCAAACAGGCACACAGGGAAAAAATACCCCGGCAATACAAAATACACGGAGCTCAACCAAGCTACACTCTCCTCACAATAAACAATCACACACAAGGACAAGGGGGCAGAGGGAACACGTATACAAGTACTAATGAGGGGAAACTGAACCAGGTATGTGTAATAAACAAGACTAAACAAATGGAATGATGAGATGAGGAGTGGCAGTGGCTAGAAGGTCGGTGATGACGAAACGCCGAAGCCTGCCCGAACCAGGAGAGGAGGTAGCTTCGGAGGACGTCGTGACAACAGTGCTTTTGAAATGTGAATTCACCACATATTATCATGCCATCACACTGAATCGAAGAGACAGGTGTTTAATTGCAAACACTATGAAGTTACTGGCTGGAACTGGGCATGAAAAAGTGTGTGTGAGTGTTTGCCCAAGTCGTACTTTTGGGACTGTCCAGATATGTCATTTGTTACAAAGCAACAGTGGCATTATCCTCTCCTCTCTGCTGAGTCCAGCTGTGCCAGAATAATACATCAGTAGGAGGCCGGCATGGGACTGGAGTTGAGGGTCAAAGGTTAGCTGTCAGCTTTTAATGTACTTTGAGCTGCGTAGGAGCAGCAGTGGGGGTACAAGGATTTAGTATGTCTGTTAAAGGCCCAGTGGGATTACCTCTTTAAGAGATTAAATTCACTGGCTACCACGGCTTGAGGACAGGAAGTCCACAAGTTCCCTGAAGTGACGAATGCTCAGACATACACATTTGTAGTCTGCCACGGTGACAATGTGTGCCCAACTACTGGCCAGACAAACAGAAGTTTGTGTGAATGAAGTGTGTGAAGGGGTTTTCCTTTGAAACAGGAACAGTGGAGAGTTCAACATTACCATCATACGTAAAAAATACACATTCCATTGTAAGGGTAAACAATGTGGCTATTTTTAAAGGGGGATTTCTGAAAGCCAGACAGAGAGACAGTGTCTTGATGACGTCCGAGTTTGCTTTTTGCCATTGAACGTGATAGGAAGGCTGCTTGTGGAAGCAGCGGCACCAAATGTCAAGTGTGATATGACAGATACAGTTTTTGAGAGGACTAGAGCTCCACTGCATGCTCATTGATTAGAAATGCCAATAGCCTTTAGTTTTAGTGGGGAGTGAGGGAAAGTGCTGCCTGAAATAGAAAGGATTTAATGTTTGGGTTAGCCTGCATCATATGGATCAAACAGGGCCGGACTACCCGCATTTGGGGTCCCGGGGTACCAAACCTTTTTGTGTTGAAAAAATCTGCAGTTGTTAATGCTGTTCTACACATTGTGGAAAAACGCCATTACCACTCCAGTCCCCAAAAAGCCTTGTCCAAAAGAAAATGATGACTACAGACCTGTTGATCTGACCCCCCATAGTAATGAAGTGTTGTGCTTGCTCCGTTTAGATGTGAACCCTGTGTTGATCATTATCAATTTGCCGATAAGCAACAGTCGTGGGACTAATGACGCAATCAACACAATAGTGCATCTCATTGTTAAGCATCTGGAAAACCCCAAGGCCAATGCTATACTGTTATTTATTGATTCAGTTCAGCGTTTAACATGATATAGCCACATGTCCTACTCAGCCAGTTAAAGCAGTGTTAACCCCTATACCATCAGGTGGTACCACTCATTCCTGACTAGCCGTACTCAACCGGTTAGGGTTAACGATACCCTATCTGAGACTAGAGACATTAGCATGGGGGCCCCGCAGGGTTGTGTGAGTTTGCCCATCTATTCACACTGTACACAAATGAATGCACTAGCAGTAATCCTGATAACAAGTTCTCAGATGATACTGACATTTTTGGTCTGATGTATAAAGATGCTGAAACTACTGTGTATAGGTCAGAGTTTCAAAGGTTGTCCAGTGGTGTAATGAGCACCATCTCATCCTTAATGTAAAGAAAACAGAGGAGATGGAGGCGATGGTGTTTGAACCCAAATCTGTCTGCGTCCACGCGCCTGTGGTTGTTCACAATGGCAACATAGCAGGTTAGTTTGTACAAGTATCTGGGTGTACACATGGACAATGTGCTGAGCTGGAAGGTCCAAGTAGAGAGTGTCTGCTCCAGAGTCCAACAACGCCTCTATTTCCTATGTACTGTAGACTCAGGGTTTTGGAGTTGACCAAAAAAGAATGCTCCTGTTCCATCATGCGGTCATAGAGAGTATCCTATATATGGCATCACAGTCTGGTTTTGCTATTTATCAATCCAACTGAAATTCCAAATTGCCCGCCTCATACAAACTGCCATGAAGGTCATGGGTGTGAGGCACCATCCCTCCCTGCGGACTATTTCTGAACAGACCGTTACCAGAAGCACAGAAAATTATTTCAGATCCCTCCCATGTACTTCACTCCGAGTATCAGCTCCTCCCCTCAGGCAGACGCTATAGGGTCCCTCCTCCCCTCAGGGCAGACGCTATAGGGTCCCTCCTCCACTCAGGAAGACACTATAGGGTACCTCCTCCCCTCAGGCAGGCGCTATAGGGTCCCTACGTGTAAGCTGAACAGGTATAAGCACTCCTTTATTCCCATGTCCATCAAATACCTAAACAGCAATAAGTAAAGCTGAGCTGTGTTAGTACGCAACTGACAGAATAAGGCAATATGCTAAGTATTATTTTTTTACATTTACATTTTAGTCATTTAGCAGACGCTCTTATCCAGAGCGACTTACAGTTAGTGAGTGCATACATTATTTTTTTATTTTATTTTTTTATACTGGCCCCCCGTGGGAATCGAACCCACAACCCTGGCATTGCAAACACCATGCTCTACCAACTGAGCTACATCCCTTTATATTTATTATGTATGTGGCTATATGATAAGGATAACGTGCAAGGTATTATGTTGAGTGTGTAATGTACAGTGTATATTTTGTATACAACAGTACTGTGTGTCTAAGACAATTTCCCCCTTGGGGACATTTAAAGTTAATCCTATCCTTTCTATTTTGTCATGAGGCTAAGAGAAAATGTTGCAGTTTTAAATCAAATTTCCTGCAATTTTACACTTTTCGTCATGGGTCAGAGAGAAAAAATTGCTGTTTTATAGCTCATCTCATGCTATTGTGCACATTTTGCAATGAGGCTGAAATAAAATGTTGCCGTTTTAAAGCTAATATCTTTGGTTAGGGGACCCCTGGAGGTCTGGGGCCACAGGGGACGTGCCCTGCGTGCCCGTTCAGTAATCCGGCCCTGGGATCAAAGCAGATGCTGAGCAAACATTAGACTCGATTGAACATCAGACTAATGAGCATTCTCATTATCTTTGACCAATGACAGTTTGGAACTTTCAAAGGCCTTCAGTTCATTGTTGATGGTAAAATAAATCACCCCTCCAGTGGACTCCGGTGCCCTTCAGTTATGCATTAGCTCTCTTAATTGAAGCATTGACGATGGCGCGGCCAATGTATAGAACAGTCCTGATGCTCCTTAACATTACATCTTGGGCTAGTTATGCATCAGCAATTTAGAATTTAAAGTGACACTGCATGGTTTGCTAAAGGATTGCAGCTTGCCAAACATCTTTCTTTCACATTTTGTCCATTCCCTTGGAAAAAATTTATAGCATTCCAGGCCTTATTCATCTCTGCTAACACGTTTTACTTACGCTATCATGTTTTCAGAGTTTTCATCTCTCCACTAACTTCAGCCAAAGATTTTGGTATATATACAGTTTCACCTCTCTTCTCTGACTCTGCATCAGCCTACAGAAACAAAATGTGACAGACACACACAAGATAGTTTTTACCTAGCAACATAACAGCTACAGCTTACAAAGTCATGTTGCCAGCTATGTTTAAATTTTTGACTCAAACATTGCAAGAAAGCTACCTAGTTTACTCATGAATTAATTGTATGTCTTCAATGCATGACAAGGGCCTACATTTGGACGAAGATGTATTTGGAATAAATTTTTTAATAAAAGGACATATGTTTAAATGTATATGTCACCACCTATGAAGTCAAGGTATAACCGTTGCACAAATAGCAGCTATGCATAATGTTTTGTATGTTTCAAATTATGATTGGTCATGATTAGTTATCTCACAACTTGAGCAATGTACTAGTGTAAAACAAAACACATAACACAATTTAGTGTCAGAAAAGTACTAAGTATTTTAATAAGATAAGAATTCCCTAAGAGAAGAATGGTAGAAAATGTAACCCTTCTGACAGACGTCCTTTCGTCACTTGACGTGTTGCGTAAGCAGTCAGCGCTTGCGCCGGTTGCACAATCCAGGCAAGGTCGTAGCTAGCTAGCATTGCAAGGAGCCTCTCTCGCTAAAAAGATGATGTCCCTTGCCGCTCGTTCGGGGGCATTTTCCCCATACTTGCAGGCTACGAACTATGCAGTTGCTGGACCCCTCAAATCCCTTATTCCAGGGGTGGTTGTAAAAGGAGAAAAAGTGTTGGTAGACACGAAGAAACCTTTCCTGACCCGCGAGTCCCTGAACGGTCAGAGTCCCAAGACTGGGCCTGCAGTATCAGTTAGCATAAATGGTAAGTAGCTAAGCAAGCTAACAGTATCTAATGGCTAACGTTAGTAATCGGGTTATTTGTTTTACTTGTGGAAAAGTAATTGACATATGATGTTAGGACGTGCAGTTGTATTTTACCAAAGTCCAGTTGATATGCTGTAGAATCGGAGGATTGTTTAATAAATTAGCCTAGCGTTCATTAGCTCGCTAATGTTAGCTGTGTAGTTAGCATTGGCTAGACGCGGTCGAGTCATAATAATAATAATAATAATATGCCATTTAGCAGACGCTTTTATCCAAAGCGACTTACAGTCATGTGTACATACATTTTTACGTATGGGTGGTCCCGGGGATCGAACCCACTACCCTGGCGTTACAAGCGCCATACTCTACCAATTGAGCTACAGAGGACCATAAAGCCAGTTAACTAGCCAGCCAGCTAGTTAACTAGCTAATTGGTAGTTGACTGCGAGGTCAGGACCAAACGGGTGTCCATGATGAACGAGGCTAGGATGTAACTAGCAGGAGCAGCACCGCAGTATGGGGCCACAACGTTTGCACTGCAGCGAAGACAGTACAGTATGAAGATGGGCAGAAACTGCTTCTTCAATAGGAATCCCAGATCATGCTTGTAGGTGACGCCATGTTGACGTGTACTAGCTAAGCATGCACAGAAATACGTCATCGCGTATAACACTTCTCTCATTGACTTCGCAAACCCTGGCTTGGTCTGTTTTGCAAGCGTTCCCGGAAGTCTCGTGATGTTGCGCCTCTGGGTTTAGAAACTCTGTTACTGGGGTCACAACCTGGATAACTAACTAAATAGCTAGCTAGCTGCTACCTTTACTGATGTGTAGTAATGTCGTATTTTTATCATTCTAGTTAAGATAACATTACGTAACCCATACAGGTGGGTCTTAGTGATGATAGCCTGTAGATTCCGACCCTACCATTACTCTTGTTTACACTGAGCTGAACTGGGGGTTCGGAAGGCACCATGGAGCCGGCTTCAGATATGGATCGGAAAGCTTACCTCTATGCAGGGATGGGAAATGCAACTGCACTCCAAATGTTACCTTAATCCACACTGATAGATCAAGAAGATTGAAATGCTACTTGTTTTCCCAGAAAACTGCCCTTTTCGTCCTCATGAAGATTGGAATGGCAGTGTCAACCAATCAGCATCTTTTGTTGTTCAAAGTGATGCGCCATTCCATAATGGCTACTGCTAGCTAGCATGAGGACGAAACAGCAGTTTTCCGGGAATACTAACAGTATTTCAGTCTTCTCGATGTATCAGTGTGGATAAAGGTAAAATTGAGTACCGTGGCATATTCCATCCATGCATTGAGGTGCGTTTTCTGACCCATATCTTGCGCCGTCTCCAGTGTCTTAATGTAACCATGATTGCATTCTGACCCCAATGCAGCTCAGTGTAAACAAGTGTAATGATAGGGTCGGAATCTGCTGGCTAGAGTGAAGAGTGTTTTGTTGGTCACTAGTTTAACCTGACATTTTAGCTAGGGAGTTGGTAGCTAACTACATGTAAGTCAAGGGTGTATTCATTACGCAGATTTTGTTGTAAAATGTTTAGTCTGTTGCAAAACGTTTTGCAACATAACAAGAGTTTCTATTGGAAAAATTCAGGAAGGTTTCGTTACGTTTGCTCTGTTTGGTTCTTAAACGTTTTCGGTTGCAAGACGTAATGAATATGCCCCAGCTAATGGGCTAGTTAACTTAGAAAGCTTGCTAGCTAGCTACTTTGTTGAATATTTAAACTTGACTCAAACAATCTGTTCATACATTTTCTATCTAACTAGCTATTGACTTGAATGCATCTGCTGCTATAATGTGCCCTCTGGTACTTTCCTATCACATGCCATTGTCTATCTCTTAATACTGTTTTGATTGTTTATCTAATGGACAACTTGTTTTATTTTTCAGCAAAAGCTACAGTCCGCTTCGCTCACACTGACATCAAGGTGCCAGATTTCTCTGATTACCGTCGGCCTGAGTTGCTTGACCCCAAGAAATCTTCTCAGGAGAGCAGCGAGTCCAGAAAAACCTTCTCCTACCTTGTCACCGGGGCAACAGCCGTGGTGGGTGTCTACACAGCCAAGACCGTGGCCACACAGTTTATCTCTTCCATGAGTGCCTCAGCTGATGTCCTGGCTATGTCCAAGATCGAGGTCAAGCTGGGAGAGATCCCAGAGGGCAAGAATATGACCTTCAAGTGGAGGGGCAAGCCTCTGTTCATCCGCCACCGGTCTGAGAAAGAGATTGCTGCAGAGGAAGCTGTGGATATGGCTGAGCTTCGTGACCCCCAGCACGACAAGGACCGCGTCGCCAACCCAAAATGGATCATTGTCATCGGCGTGTGCACCCACCTGGGCTGTGTACCCATCGCCAATGCTGGTGACTATGGTGGATACTACTGCCCTTGCCATGGCTCTCACTACGATGCCTCTGGCCGTATCAGGAAAGGCCCAGCCCCACTCAACCTGGAGGTGCCCTACTATGAGTTCCCAGATGAGGACACAGTAATTGTAGGCTAAATTGTTGGACTGAGATCACAGATCAGTATGTTTCTGTCTGGCTCATTATTCCATCCATTAGCAGGCACAACCTCTGTTTCAGGGTGGTATAAATTATTGTAAGTAATAAATGTACATTTAATCTGATTGAAAACCTCTCATGTTATTTATTTACCCAATCTCAGCTAAATCTAATACTGTACCAAAATACGACCTGGGTTGTAAATGAGTAATGGGGTTTCTTTCGCCTTTCTTAACAATGAATAGCCTACTAATAATACTGATGTTTTAATAGTGCAGGTATAAGGGCATTTACCAAGATTTTGCTGCTCAATCAAAAACACACCTGCTTACAGACAGTTATCTACAATGTGTCTGAAGGTGATTCTCAAGGGTTAATGTCACGAATTATGGCTTTACAGAAAAGTTTTTGTCCCTGATTTTGTTGGGACGATTTAGAGTGCTAGGTTCAGTTGTTTTAATGGCAATATTGCAGAAGGTTGTATATTTTCTTCCTATCAATATCACTGTTTTGCTTTGGTGGTGGTCACATAGATGAACATTACACATTCTATAGAAGAAAGAAAAGGGGTCAGTGGGGGCTGACAAAGGCATTGAGTGTTTAAATCGATGCTAATGCAACAAAACAGCCAGATTTAATTGGTCTATTAATGAGCTATCCAGCTGCGTACAGAGTTGTGTAAAAATGTATACTCATGTTAAGCTAATAAATGTTTCACAGAAAATCATATTCCTTTTGTGTGATATTTACAGCCTGCAGCTCAGACTGGGTTGCAAGTGCAGCACACAGGAGCTTCTTGCCTCTATAGTCTGAATGGCATTTGAATATTTCCGATGCACCTGCTAAAGCAAACCTCAGATTTGCGAGTACATTTCATTTAGCTATCAGGCTGGGTTAATAACGTGAACCCTCATTTGATTTTACATACAGGTCAAAACTACGGTCCGGTTTAGTTCCTATAAAATACATTCATGGTTGGCATTGGCTGGTTATGGATAAGGATAACTGCTTGAGGTGTGTCATAGTCTGGTATGAAGAGAAGCCTGCTGTCTGAGGTGGTCTTGACTGAGATCTCTGGTGATTAGGAGGGAAATGGCTGCCCAACCGCCTGGTATTCCCACGCTTCATTGACTAATAACCAGCTAATAATAAAGTGCTTGATGTCTTTCTCTCTACGGGGCCACAGAGACAAGCTATGCATAACTGCCTGTGTGCTTATTTATTTTATCCCGATGGATTCCTTGCAATCCATGTACTGTAAATAGGATTGATATGACCTGTTACTGTTTCGGGTCAGCCTTGAAGAAATGTCCCCATTGGAATTCCACAAAGACTCCAATAATTACACATGATATTGGTTGTAAATTGCCATGTTCTGTACATTGTTTTTGCATTGTCCAATGAAACAGGTTTTGTGTGTGACATTACTGACACAGAATTTCCCCACTGGCATTCATGCAGCTGATTGGTTGGTAAAACTTACGTTAGGGAGAAGGCTATAGCAAATTGTCCGAATTCCAAAGGAGTAATGTTGCTGGATGTTGTGCTCTCTAAAGCAGCCAAATAGTTGGGACAGCTTCTTGACAACCTTCTCACATCATAATATATGTAGAGGCCTCTAACCAATGCTTTATTTTGTAGCAGATTTCCCTGTATTTTGACAGACTCCTGACATGTCTTTAGGTCAAAATTGCACATTCTCCTGGATGGAGCTACAAGGCTGAAAGGATCAGAGGAGAATAAATAATTGCTCCCAACCAAGGCAACTTGGTTGGGAGCATGTTGTATAAATTAATGTAGAATGTAATTTATTTACATATCATGTAATGTATATTAATTAGTATAATAATGGAACATTATTTTTAGGCCTGTTTTATAGAGAAAATAAGCAATTGCTGTAGCTTTTCAGAAAGCATTCCCTGTCAACTGAAAAATAGAATTCCTCTGCACAATAAGGTTTCAGATTACTTTTATTTATTCTAAAACTTGAAAACTTCACACTGTTGTATGGGTGGTTTAATTATCTAATGGCTTTCGCCACAGTACAACTCCCTCACTCTGCCTTGTTGCCTGGAGTGACCTCTGTTCCTGATAGTCTGACACGCCACCTGCCCGGCCAGACACAGGCTTGCTCACTGGTGCCATGTCAACTCTGCTTGCCAGATGCCCCTTTGCCCTTCAGGTGTGATTGATATATGATTATATCACCAGGGATGTCAGGACACCACATCACTCTGACATTTGAAAGCTGGATTCCCTGGTCCTGCTGTGGCACATCCAAAAGCCTTCTCTTTATTTCGGTATCAACCCATCTGATCATTAATTCTTAGCGGTATTGTCAGAGTCATTTTGAACATTGTATACTTCCTCTGAGGTCAGTACTTAATGATTGTGCATGTGCATGTCTGTAAAGCTCTCAAATGCACCTTTTTTATGTAATTGAACTCCTACTTGTGAATGGACTGCTGATCCGAATGGCTCTCATGCTACCTCATTCAGCTGACAACTTGCATTCTCAAAGCTATTCTAGGGAACACGTAAGATGCTAGCTAGGGTAATTAAATTCGGCCTGGCTCAGATCCATGTAAAACAAAGGAGGGATTATACTTTTTGTACAGTACAATTTTTCCCCTTCATTATATTACTTTGCAAGTCCCTTTTTCGCAGACTACTTTGAATGAATCTCTTCAAAGCTGCATGGTGTAAGCATCTAATGTTGCATTTGTCTGAAAACTCTAAGATGCTGGAGCAGTCATCTTTAAAGAGTGAAGAGGGTATCTTGCTTTTCTTCACTGACGATAGAACCAGAAAAATAAAACAATTAGCTGCAAACTGATTTACTCTCCCGCAATCTGATGTATCAAATTAACATATTAATCCTCTACTTGTCTCTAGGGTGATCAGATTATGATGAAAGATTTATTAGGATCTCATGACTCATTTGAACTTGTTTAGCATAACTTTGCATAGTGTTAAGGAGTTTCACCATAGAACATAGCTGGTAATTTATATTTTCACTTCATTAAATCTGTGTTTTAATGTTTTATTGTCGTGTCATCTCAGGCTTTGTCTCTCAGTGAACCAACATTTCTTAATTGCATTTTGAGTGATTAACTTCTCAATTTCTCCCATGTCACCTCATTCCTCAACTATTTTCACTGGGTCCTGGTGGCAGTTTGCAACATATTTCTGACTTTGGGGCAGGCTGCTACTCTGCTACTTTGTCTGTGTTCTACTTTTTGATCCTCTCACCAGCAGAATATACTCAGATGGTACCACCGGTTCCTGTTGCTTGCCTACAGGCCTAGGGCAGTGAGGGGTACTGCCCTTCACCTCCAGCCAGGCAGTGATTAGACCTTCCACCCTGGCTTGACCACTTTGCTCTGTCACCACTGGAAACTTGGCACTTCTATCCTTGCTCTCATCCCAGTCACAGCTCTTTTCATGACCCAACAGTGGTGGAATGACCTTTCCTCTACACAGTCATGACAGCTGAGTTGATGTCCATCCTCCCACCGCAGACTGAATACCCGTCTCTTCAGACAGTAAGCTACATTCAATGTCTCTGCTCCTTCTGACCCATCTCTCGAATTGTGGTCCTGCACTCATCCGCAATTTGAACATGTGATGCACCACTACCCAAGTACCAAAATAACAAGGGAAATGCCTGGTTTCTTTAACTTACCAATACACTGAATGCAATGATGATTATAAGTGTGTGCGTGCATATGGGTGCTTGCGTGTTATATACAGTGGGGGAAAAAAGTATTTAGTCAGCCACCAATTGTGCAAGTTCTCCCACTTAAAAAGATGAGAGAGGCCTGTAATTTTCATCATAGGTACACGTCAACTATGACAGACAAATTGAGAAAAAAATTCCAGAAAATCACATTGTAGGATTTTTTATGAATTTATTTGCAAATTATGGTGGAAAATAAGTATTTGGTCACCTACAAACAAGCCAGACCTGTAACTTCTTCTTTAAGAGGCTCCTCTGTCCTCCACTCGTTACCTGTATTAATGGAACCTGTTTGAACTTGTTATCAATATAAAAGACACCTGTCCACAACCTCAAACAGTCACACTCCAAACTCCACTATGGCCAAGACCAAAGAGCTGTCAAAGGACACCAGAAACAAAATTGTAGACCTGCACCAGGCTGGGAAGACTGAATCTGCAATAGGTAAGCAGCTTGGTTTGAAGAAATCAACTGTGGGAGCAATTATTAGGAAATGGAAGACATACAAGACCACTGATAATCTCCCTCGATCTGGGGCTCCACGCAAGATCTCACCCCGTGGGGTCAAAATGATCACAAGAACGGTGAGCAAAAATCCCAGAACCACACGGGGGGACATAGTGAATGACCTGCAGAGAGCTGGGACCAAAGTAACAAAGCCTACCACCAGTAACACACTACACTGCCAGGGACTCAAATCCTGCAATGCCAGACGTGTCCCCCTGCTTAAGCCAGTACATGTCCAGGCCCGTCTGAAGTTTGCTAGAGTGCATTTGGATGATCCAGAAGAGGATTGGGAGAATGTCAAATGGTCAGATGAAACCAAAATAGAACTTTTTGGTAAAAACTCAACTCGTCGTGTTTGGAGGACAAAGAATGCTGAGTTGCATCCAAAGAACACCATACCTACTGTGAAGCATGGGTGTGGAAACATCATGCTTTGGGGCTGTTTTTCTGCAAAGGGACCAGGACGACTGATCCGTGTAAAGGAAAGAATGAATGGGGCCATGTATCGTGAGATTTTGAGTGAAAACCTCCTTCCATCAGCAAGGGCATTGAAGACGAAACGTGGCTGGGTCTTTCAGCATGACAATGATCCCAAACACACCGCCCGGGCAACGAAGGAGTGGCTTCGTAAGAAGCATTTCAAGGTCCTGGAGTGGCCTAGCCAGTCTCCAGATCTCAACCCCATAGCAAATCTTTGGAGGGAGTTGAAAGTCCGTGTTGCCCAGCGACAGCCCCAAAACATCACTGCTCTAGAGGAGATCTGCATGGAGGAATGGGCCAAAATACCAGCAACAGTGTGTGAAAATCTTGTGAAGACTTACAGAAAACGTTTGACCTGTGTCATTGCCAACAAAGGGTATATAACAAAGTATTGAGAAACTTTTGTTATTGACCAAATACTTATTTTCCACCATGATTTGCAAATAAATTCATAAAAAATCCTACAATGTGATTTTCTGTTTTTTTATTTCTCATTTTGTCTGTCATAGTTGACGTGTACCTATGATGAAAATTACAGGCCTCTCTCATCTTTTTAAGTGGGAGAACTTGCACAATTGGTGGCTGACTAAATACTTTTCCCCCCCACTGTATCTGTGGGGGGAAGTGTAGCAAAATGTGCAATTGTTCACTCACTGTAGAAAATAAAGCCTCACCAATCTGAATGAATGAGTGTAAATTGAGACATCACATAGAAACTGTCAGATCATTAGAGGAAATGAATCTCCTCTTTTCATCTAACTCTGCCATGTTGGTTGCAGCTGGAGTTTCATAAAGCGACTGTGCCGGC